TCATGTGAATCACCTCAGGTTAGTGCTACAAGTATTGAGGAAGCATCACTTGTATGCTAAACTGTCTAAGTGTGAATTTTTGTTGAACGAAGTAGCATTTTTGGGGCATGTTATTTTGAGTGATGGTGTTTCGGCCGATCCATCAAAAGTGAGCGCTATTGAAAATTGGCCCCGACCAAAGACGCAGACAGAGATTAGGATCTTTTGGGGGTTGTCCAGGTACTATCGGAGGTTTGTGCAAGACTTTGCACGATTGGCAAGGCCATTAACATCGTTGTTGAAGAAAAATGTCAAAGTAGTGTGGAATGAATCATGTGAACAAGCTTTTCAAGAGTTGAAACGAAGGTTGACGGTTGCACCGGTGTTGGCATTGCCGATAGATGGCTGGGAGTTCGATGTGTATTGTGATGCGTCAAGATGAGGATTGGGCTATCTGTTGATGCAAGATGGAAGGGTGATAGCATATGCTTCGAGGCAACTCAAATCGCATGAAGAGAACTATCCGACTCACGACGTGCAAATGGCGGCTGTCGTGTTTGCTCTCAAGATATCGCGACATTACCTTTACGAAGTTCATTGCAAGATTTACACCGATCATAAGAGTTTGAAATACATATTCACTCAAAGAGAGTTGAATCTGAGACAACGGAGGTGGTTGGAATTAGTAAAGGACTATGACTTGGATATTTTATATCAGGAAGGCAAGGCGAATGTGGTTGTTGATGCTTTGAGTCGGAAGTCAAGTCATGACGTATGTTCGATGACATTATCCGTAGAGTTGTGTCGTGAGTTTGAGAATCTACAAATTGAGGTAGCGGGTCCTAAGGTGATTGAAGGATATATGGGTGCCTTGTCGGTTGAGCCAGAGATTTTAAGGGAGATTCGGAAAGCTCAGGTTGATGACGATGATTTACTCAACACAGCGATAAAAGTGCAACAAGGTGAAATAAGAAAATTCCATGTTGGTCGGGATGGAAGTCTAACATTTTGAGACAGATGGTGTGTACCAAAGGATCGGTTAAATATTAAGGAAATGATACTCAAAGAAGCTCATGGTTTTCCATATTCAGTGCATCCCGGTTGCGATAAGATGTATAAAGATTTGAAAGGACATTTTTGGTGGCGCGGTATGAAAAGAGACATTGAAGAGTATGTCACCAAGTGTTTGAATTGCCAAAAGGTTAAGGCGGAGCAGAAGAGAACTATGGGTTTGTTGAGACCGTTGGAAGTTCCGGAATCACTAAAAAAAATGGCTAATGACCATTTTTTGTTATAGAAAGCTATTTGTAACGATTTTGTACCGGATTTTGACCGGTGCATATACTGGAGATACAAAAATTCTCTGTACCAGATTTTTTCGTTACAAAACATGGACGGTAAACGCACTTCTTAATCACTTATTGTAACGGTTTTTGTAACGCGAACTTTGAATTTTCAATGAATTTGTAACAGATATTTCTCGTACTAAAAGAACCGTTACATTAAATTTTCATCTATTTATAATGGCACTAATTACAACATAATTTTTGTTACAATAGCTTATTGTCAGAAAACTATTTAAAACAACATCAAAGTTTTTTTAACGGTATTTGTAATGACCATAATTTCGTAACAAAAAAATATTCTTATTCTTTCAATAAAAACCTGTACGATACGAAAAACACTCCCAAACGACATTACAAAATATAAGAATATTACATAAAATATCAATTGCACTAAGTACGCACTATCTAGGAACATAACTACTTCGCAATTTGGCGTAACATATACGACAAAGCATAAAAACAAACATACAAAAGAAAGTAGAAAATGCAAGTTCAACCAACGGAAAGGAAGTCAGCATCAATCCACAAACAAAAGTAAATCATCATAAAATCACGTGCCACACTGTCACGCCCCATGCAGCGTCAAATTGAACGTACACGGCAGTTGCGGGCGACGAACAAGCTGCAAGCATAGTGCAAAAGTATATAAGAATTTAGTCGAGATGGATTCTATCTTGATGACAAAAATGTAAAAACAACAAGATATAGAACAACATAAATAGAATTATAGCATGGACCCTATCTTGATGACACCCGGACCAACATCCATACAACGACACAATTATAGAACAAGCAGCAGTATCATGTAAAATCTGTTTGTTTAAACAACCAACTTAAACATGTATCGATTCAACAAAAATAATTAATTGAGTGCAAATGTATCCAAATACCAAACACTTTGAATTATAACAAAAAGCAAAGTGGTTTGGGGATAAAATCAATTCACCCGCCAGCATCTACAATAATCGTTAATTATAAACATATATGCTCCCCAAAAGGACCATACGGAACAAACAGTTTCCGGTTGAGTGAACATTTTCCATCTACCATTTCAATCCAACCTCGAGGTTTCACCCGATAATAGCCAACCAATCATCTTTGTCATTTCTCAAACTGGGGAATGAGATATACCTGACTTGGGTAGCTTGCATCCTAAGTATGAAAGGTTCATAACTGCGTAACAGTACTCATGTCGCACTTATGTTTTGGAGAAAATACAGATTTTTAGAAAGAATTTCAAAAATATTGATAAGCAAGAATGCTTATTAAAGAAAATAAATACACCAAGATAATTGGATATCTTTCATAAGCATGCAATACATATTTTGATCAAATATAATTTAGTAAAACAACAATTATTCTCAACATATTCAAAAACTAATTTCAATACATACAACCATTGTAAGTAGAAGCTGAAACAAATTTAAATCAAACATTTAGCAGTGGATGTGTAGACAAGTAATGTCCAAGATAATCTCAACTATAAATTATGAGGGAAATTAATACATAGACAAAGAAAAAAAAACATATGTAGTGAACATGAAATGATAAGAACAAGAGTAGACATAACTAGGGATGAGAAGGTAATGAGAATCTTAAACAGGAATACAATAGTTCATCAGTCATGTTATTTTTCTCAATGCCCGATTCCAATCCAAGATCCTGCTACAATGTAATCTACAAACAGCCCACACACAAACATATATGCATAATAAATAAATAAATGACTATTAGATTAGACTATTATTATGCACGGCACCAAATACACAACTATTCAAGTCAAGAATAGTTTTAATTGTGAAGCAAAAAAAAAAAAAAAACAAAAATGATTTATTTGTGCAGCAAACAATGTATTCAAAATATGTATTATAAAAAAAATGGATTATGAATTGAAACAGGGGGTTTCTTTAGAATTATTTGATAAAAATTTATATTATATGGATATGATGTTAATAAAAATCGGAATGAGTAATTTTTCCATTACAATTAAAGCTGGGAAATTGAACAGCTCCACCATTCACTGGACATACTTACCGAATTCCATCCATGGAAACCTGAGAAAACAACCAAAAACTACTACTCATAACATGATTGATCCACACATGTCTTGATTCGAACCATAAAGTTACTCACAACTAAAACAAAAGCTTTTAATTGTATTATTTCATAAAGAAATATTTTAATTGGAATGTATTTTGCTCCAACATTCATAACAAGGAGATAAAGAGTGCCAACACCATAATTGGAAACCTTCGAGGAATGCCAAAAAATACAGCATCTTGTGAGAGATTTCAGGAACTGGAAAAGGTATGCAATTTGTATCATTGAGCTAACCACCACGCAAAAAATAAACTCATAAATTAACAGCAACACAAACAAACAATAAAGTAAATCAAAAAAACAGCTTGCATCATGAAAAAATCAACACGAACATGCCAAATTAAACAGATTCAAAGTTGGAAGGCTTAACCAAATCTCATTTCTTCAAAATACGCAAGTTGCGATTCTCACCCAACATTTAGCAAAATAACAAAAAAAAAAAGAGCAGCGGCGCAAAAGAAACTACTACTAAAATCGCCTCAATACAATAAACTAAAACAATAGAATGAAGAAACCATAAAAAGTGGCTTACTGTCGGCGGGCAGGGGCAGCTCGCGGTCGACGAGTCAAGAAAGGCGGCAGCGAAGCTCAGTCGATGGTCGACAGTCGAGGAAGGGGGAGGTGGCGTGGTTCAGGGGTGCCGTACGGATAACTTAAAAAGAAGGAAAATGAGAAAGTACGGGAAGAAGACGAAAAGTGAAAAAGAAAGAAGATGAAAGAACGAAGAAGACGAACAAAGAACGAACAGAGGAGAGGAAGAAACGGATGTCGGATGGGGCGTGCCTAGGGTTTCTTTAGAAGTCCCAATTTTAATTTTACTTTTTAATTGTCTATAATAATTTTAATATTAAATAAACAGTTATTTTAATTTCAGTTAGTATATATTAATATGTAAATATTATATATGTATATATATAATATACTATTTAAGATTATTTTAAAGTTAGTTTGAAATTTGGAATTAAAATTATTATAGTTGTAACAAAAAATATACTGCAACAAAATTAAAAAAGGTTGACCAAATCAAAAATACTATTTGTTACAAAAATATCCGAAACAAAAAATCGTTTTTGTAACGAAAAAATTGTTGCGGATGAGATTCCGCTACAAATGAGCATTTTTTTGGTAGTGAATGGAAGTGAGACTCGATTGCTATGGATTTTGTGACCGGATTACCAAAGTCGAGATCGGGCGCGGATACCCTTTGGGTAGTTGTTGATCGATTGACCAAGGCAGCAGTTTTTATCCCGATAAGCATGACTTGAAGCATGCAGAAGTTGGAAAGGCTGTATATCCAACACGTGGTGAAGAGGTATGGAGTTCCGGATGTGATTGTCTCGGACCGCGACCCCCGGTCCCAGTCGCATTTTTGGAAAAAGCTTCAGAAAGAGTTCGGTACTCGGTTAAGGATGAGTACGGGCCTTTCATCCGATGACCGATGGGAAGACTGAGCGCACCATTCAGATTTTGGAAAATATTTTGCGAGCTTGTGCATTGGATTCTCAAAGTCAATAGGAGGATCAGTTGGCTCTAGTGGAGTTCTTCTACAATAATAGCCATCAAGCGACCATTGGGATGGCACCCTTTAAGGCTTTGTATGGGAGGAAGTGTAGAACGCCATTGTGTTGGAGTGACCTAAGCAAAAGGGTTGTATTGAGGCCCGAAATGATTGAGGAGATGATGAATCAGATTCGTAACATCAAGGCTAAGATGAAAGCGGCCCAAGACCGCCAGAAGAGCTATGCCGACCTTTCTCGGAGAGATGGGCATTTTAAGGTGGGTGATCATGTATTACTTAAGGTCTCACCGACGAAGGGTGTGAGGAGATTCGGTATTAAGGGAAAGTTGAGCCCGAGGTATGTAGGGCCGTACGAGATCATCAAAAGGATTGGAGAGGTGGCCTACAGGTTGGCCTTGCCGGAGACATTGAAAAGGGTTCATGATGTTTTTCATGTCTCTCAATTGAGGAGATATGTGGCTGACCCATCTCATATACTTCAACCGGAAGTCTTGGATCTTCCGGAGGATTTGGTGTACTCGGAGCAACCTATTCAAATTGTGGCCTTCAAAGTTAGATCGACGCGGAACTGTGAGATAAGGATGGTGAAAGTAGTGTGGTCACAACATGGGATTGAAGAAGCGGCATGGGAAACCGAGCAAAAAATGCGAGGAAAGTATCCAGAGTAGTTTGAGGTAGCTCCGGGTGTGCAGATTGATTTTGAGGATGAAATGTCCAAAGGGGGAAGGATGTAATACCCCGTAAAATAATCGCCGGAAACTTGCCGGAGTAGGACAAATTTTATTTTGGGCCTAATTTATTTTGGGCTTTTAGTGTAAGAGATTTAAAAGTTGGGTTTAAATTAAGAGTAAAAATTGAATTTGGGCCCAAGTAGGGTAAAATAATTAATAAAGGCCTAAGTATTTTATGTTTAATAAAAAAAAAAAAGAAAACAACACGCACGCCACCGCCAGCCCTCTTCTTCTTCCTTGGAATTCTTCTTCTCCAAAACTCTTCATTTTGGTCTCTTCTCTTAAGGTAAAGTGATATTAATCTTAGATAGATGATATATCTAATCCCTAGACCCCTTCTATTGATAATTTTCAAAATTATTCTCAAATGGGTTTGCCCTAAAAGTGTTAGGTTTTGCCAATTTCTTCTAGAAAGTTGATTATAATGTCATCTAAGGCTTATGTGAAGATTATTATTGGATTTTAAATTGAAAATCATAGAATTTATGGATGGGTTTAAAACTCTAGTTTTGCCCTAACCTAGTTATGGTTTTAGGAAAAAGATTTACAATTATATTTAAATATTATAATTTTTGGAGTTAGACCATGCCTATTGTGATTGACATATTTTTTGAATGTTTATTTGGCGAAATAAAGTGAGATTTTAATGAACTTGTTGGGTCTAGTATCCTACTTTTGCACGGTTAAATGTTGACAATTGGAATATTTTAGTTTAAAACACTCCTTTTGAAATTTGCCTAAGAGCATGTTGAGTATTTGGTCAAATTGGTAATTAAAACTACCCGTCGAGTCTGATCAACTCGTTGATTGTTTGGATGATAAGGCATAGCCTTCCACCTCTGTGCCTTGCAAACACATGAGGGTATACCGGTATTTTAGGATAACTAGCTAACCTTGAACTAGATTTCGAATGGTCTAGGTCGAGGGATCAAGATGGCGGGTTCTCTTTTTGGATGATTCCGAGGTGCCCGTCATTCACGATGAAAAGGTCTTTAGACCGTCATCCGTGATGGAGGGATGGATTGCGTACAATCCCCTCTTGGTATGTTATATTGGAGACTAGAGGGTTGTGGGCCATATGGCGCCCCTCGCAAACTAATAATAAATTGATTTACATGTACTTTGAATTTTGAACCCTTATGTACAGATTGTGAAGTTTTCCTTTAGGGTTGTGGCCGTATGGTTGTTATGTGAAACTATGTGAAATGTCATACGAAGTAATAAAGTTGGAAAACTGGGTCGAGCCGACCCTGATTAAGGCCTAGTGGAGTTTTCTTCGTGATGTGCTCATCACTATTATTTTGTAATGAAAATGAGATATAAGGGAGGCGCTAAACGACTCGTGTGTGTGAATTCCCCTTATGTGATATGTGTCATCTTATTCAATTATCTTCTTACAAATGATTTTGTGGCATTATACCGTATTAATTTATCTTCGATTAATTGCGCTTACTCAACCGTTGTGTTGACCCTCTTGTTACGATCTTTTTGTAGGTGATCATGCTTCCATTATACCTAAATGATGCATGTACTTCATATGATCCATCGGGGGAATTAGAACTATTTTACCTTCTAAAATGCTTTGAAATTCATTAATCATGTTTAAAGACTAATGCCTTTTGAACTATTTCCAATTTATACTTTTGAATTGAACTTTACTTATTTAATCGATAAGTCGGTGTGTTTTAATTCCAAGTCTCTATTAGTTGTTTGTATATATTATTTTAGCCTTAGCGCCACAGTGTAGGACTCGTTGGTTGATGAACAAGCCTTACGGTGTGGCGTGGCGGTGACGCTCCGGTTTGAGCCGGTCGGGGTGTTACAGAGGTATTAATAACTCTCCTTCCCTTAATGTTTTAAGTTCATTACTTGTACAGGATAACATAATAAATTAAGCACCGAGCTAGGAAATTTGCCCAATGAGCCACAAGTGATGCAAGCCGCTTAGGTGCCAACTCGGAAAAAGAAGAAGCCAACCCAAGCGACAGCCCTTTCCAACTTGGTTTAGAAAGAAGGGCAATTGTAAGGAGTTTGAAAAGTTTGTACACACTTTTGTTAGTATTAAAGTTTTTATTCTGTTTTATGATGTTTTGTTGTAGATGCCACAATACGCTAAGTTTATAAAAGATATAATCAGTAAGAAGCAAAAAATGCCTGAAGTGGATGCAGTGGTGCAACTGGAAGGTGTGTGTAGCTTCATATTTTCATAAGAGCTACCAAAGAAGCTCAGCGATCCTAGGAGTTTTATTATTATTTGTACTATAGGGAACCTGAATCGATTAGGGCATCAATCTTATGTCTTTTTCAATTTTCAGTAAATTAGGGCTTTATGAACTTGAGCCATATAGAACTGTAATTCAACTTGCAGATAAACCAATAAGACTTCCGAAAGGGATTATTCATAATGTACTGGTGCAAGTAAATAAATTTATCTTCCCTGCAGATTTTATACTAATGGAAATGAGCGATCAAGAAATTCTAATAATTTTGGGAAGATCTTTCATTGCCACCGCTCAAGCTAATATCAATGTAACTTAAGGTGAAATTACATTGAGCATCGGTGGAAATAAAGTCACATTATCGATGAACAACGCATTACGCCAATCTCGGGAAGAATATTGAGATTTTATCGATGAATTAAATGAATTAACTTCTTTTCATAACAATTTAACCTTAGAATTTTTGAGGAAATTTCATAAAAGGATTCGTTCACGTTGGAGCAGCTAGATGACTCAAATGAGCGGAGCGACATCTCATATGTACCCACTGAGTCCATAGAGCAAGCGAAACAGGAGCCAGAAAGCAAATCCACAGTAAGGGAGAAGTTGAAAAAACCACCACAACATCTAAAGTACATATTCCTTGGCCTGGAGGAGACTTACCCCCTAATAATCTCCGTCTCTCTTGTGTCGGACCAAGAGGCTCAACTCCTATCTCTTCTCAAGAGAAGGAAGGCGGCATTTGCATGGAAGATTTCAAATATTAAAGAAATAAGCCTAGTAGTGTGTATACACTATATCAACCTGGATGCTAAAGGGAAACCATGTAGACAGCCTCAGCGACACCTTAATGAAAATATGCAAGAAGACGTGAAGAAGGTGGTAATAAAACTATTTGATGCAGGTATCATATACCCTATCAGTGACAGATAGTGGGTCAGCCCAAACTAGATGGTCCTCAAGAAATGAGGCTTTGTCGAACAGAAGAGAAGCGATTATGGGTCTTCATGACAAAACCAATCACATGATGGAGAGTCTGTATCGACTACAGATGGCTTAATACAGCGACGAAGAAAGATAATTTTTTGCTACCGTTTCTTGGTCAATGCCTTGAGAAGCTTGCAGGTCACAAATACTACTATTTCCTGGATGGCTACTCAGGCTATCATCAAATTTCCATCAAGCTAGAGGACTGTGAGAAAACTACATTTACCTATCCATATAGTACATTTGTTTATAAGAGGATGTCTTTTGGGCTCTGCAACGCCCCAACAACCATCCAGTAGTGTATGTATTATATTTCCAGTGATCTCCTAGAATCCTGCATTCAAGTTTTTATGGATGACTTCTCCGTATATGGCAAGATTTGTTTCCAGATGCCTGAGCAATTTGGATAGAGTGTTGCTCCGCTGCATTCAGATTGATCTCGTGCTGAACTGGGAGAAGTGAAACTTGATGGTAAATGAAGAAATTGTTCTTGGCCATAAGATCTCGCTCTATGGAATAGAGGTAGACAGATCAAAAGTTAGTATAATCAAGCGAGGAGAAGTTATAATCAAGAAATTGACAGTGTTCTCGAATGAGAAAGGAGTTAGAAGTTTCCTTGATCATGCCGGTTTCCAGCGTCAGTATATCAAGCACTTCAGCAAAATCAATTAACCGCTCACCGTGTTGGTGTGCAAGGATGCTAAATTTGAGTGGTCGAGCGAGTATGAGGAGGCCTTCCTAATTCTAAAGGAGAAACTCACTACCGCTCCCATCATTTCGGCACCAGTGTGGAGCGAGCCATTCGAGCTGATGACGGATGCAACGATTATGCCGGTGGCGCTATACTAGGACAGAAGATGAAGTCCAAGTTGAACGTCATCTATTATGCCAATAGGACATTGGACTTCGCTCAAAGAAATTATACTACGACTGAGAATGAGCTACTAGCCATTGTCTTTTCTTTCGAGATGTTCAGACAGTATCTAATCGGGAGCAAGACAATAGTTCACACTAACCATGCAACGATAAAATATTTGATAGAGAAGAAGGAGACCAAGGCCTGCTTAATTCGTTGGGTTTTGTTGCTCCAGAAATGTGACATAGAGATCAAGGACAGAAAAAGGAAAGAAAACTTTGTTGCTGATCATCTCAGCAGACTTCGACAACCGGAAGATACATCCCCAGGTATAAATGATTCTTTCATGATGAGAAATTGTTCTTTGTGCAAGGTAAGGAGCCATGGTTTGCAGACCTGGAAAATTTCTAGGCCACGGGAAAATTTTCCGCCCATACAATTTTAAGGGAAAAAAATGTCTTCTCAGCTTGCAAATGACTATTTTTAGAATGAACCTTATTTATTCAACATCGGCTCTGATGGGATTATAAGTTGTTGTGTAGTGGAATTAGAGGTCGCGCTGATCTTAAATGAATTTCATGGCTCCCATGTAGGAGGGCATTTTGCAAGCCAGCACACAGCGGCCAATGTTTTGCAGTCTGGTTTCTTTTGACCAACCCTAATGAAAGATGTTGATGCCTTTTCCAAGGCTTGCGACAACTTTCAGAGATTAGGCTCTATTTCAAAGAGATGAGATGCCTCATATTGGACTTTGTTTATGGAATTATTTGATGTATGGGGAATAGACTTTCTGGGACCGTTTCCGAATTCGAATGGAAAACTTTATATCGTAGTGGCGGCGGATTATGTGAGAAAGTGGGTTGAAGCGCAAGTGA